GTTGGCGCTCAGGGCCCGCAGGTGTTGGTCAAGTATAGGCGACTTTGGCGCTCAAAAGGTTAAAGGATTCATGGTAAATCAGCTGGAAACTAACTTGTTTCGTTATCATAACATGATTCTATTTTAAATGTGTTGTTATAAACAGATAAGAATAACTTAACCGATCTTCTTTAAAAACAGATAAGAATAACAGTTCTTATCTGTTTTCAAAGAAGATCGGTTAAGATTAACAGTTAAATTGTGCCGTAGCATTTGTTACTCTCTAAAGAATTCATTAGAAATCAGCTAGTAATTCGCTTGTTTAATTCAACATCATAATTATTTAAAAATTATGTTAGCACTGTAATGATGACACCGTAAATAATCGATCGAAAAAGAGAATCGATTTTTTAAATGTGTTTTGTGATTGGCAACACTTTTTTTTTATTCACAAACTAATGACATAATGATTTACCTAATTTTTATTATTATGTTTCCGGTACTTTTAATTTGTGCAAAAATATTCCCATTGTTTGAGGATAAATGAATACCGCGATTAATAACCATAAATAAAGATATAATTTTTTAACAAATTCACATTGTTGGGCGTTCCATGGCCGAAAATGGGCGTCCCCCTTTGTATAACTGGGGCTGTGGTTTTCTAATTTCTGACAATGTTCATTCTAGGTGGTTTAATTGCTTTACTTCCGAAGATTCCTCCCTTTCTGCCGTTAAACAGCATTACTTACATAATAGCGTGCAGTGTGTAGCGGGCCGGTATACATGCTATTGAGCATTCTGTCTTAGTAGCGAGATACCGTATCTGTAGACTGCTTTCCATTGGCAGTAATAGCCATTTACGAGAGATGGATTGTAAAACCATTTGTCACTTCATTTTTATAGTAAAAAAGTAAAATTTTATTAAATTATACAAAATCCATTGCTCCGTTTTGGTGTGAATGTCCTGGGTTAAAAAACAAACACGGTTTCAGACGGCAAGACATTTTCTATCCTTCTTAGTCTTCGAGAACAAAGCACGTGTGGTCTTTTTTGCTTAAGTGCTGAGTAATTGCAGGTGTCAATGGGATGGTAAAGCCAATTGAAATAAAATGGACTGTTAACTCATGTGTTGTTCCAATACAACTAAAATGTTTTTTTAGCTATGAGAATATTAGTAAAATATTTCATTCATCATATACTATCAAAATCCACTGCTGAATAAAGTCCTCCCCTAAAGGAGATATTCATCATAGTTAACACAATTTGCAGGCGGGTTATCAGCCGCAGTTTCTATTATTTAGTCTTTACCGGGAATCTAATTTACGGGGGCGTCCCTGTTTTCTTTCCCTTTTTACTAATAATGTGAAGTAAAATAAAATCAATAATGCTTGAAATAAAAACAATTTAAAAATCAATCTATTAATAGGCATTGCAAGTGTTTCTTTTTTCAGATAATAAAAGGTTGCTAAAACACTCGGCACAACGACCAGTACCATCTTTGACATCCAAATATATAGCTGCTTTAGTACTAGATAAAATAAAGAATGTAAATGTAAAAAAAAATGAATAGCTAAGGGACCTGCAAAGTTTATAAAGTCCCTTTTGTATTTATAAATTGAAGTTGAAAATTTGAGTCGACCACACTAAAACTAAAATTCTTACTTTCGATACATTTGTCTCGCTCAAGCACGCACACAAACGCGTACGCTCTTATATTAAAGGTTTATGCTTATCAATATATAATATTGCTCACCTTCAGAGCCAATAGCTGCAGCGAGTTGCATGTCGGCTGCGGTCGGCATTTCAGGAGTTGTGCTAATTGGCCCTAATGAAAGAAACACATGTTTATAAAATAAATATATTGTAAAGTATAATGTTGGTTTTCCTATATTGGATTTCTTTTTTTATCTTATAAAGGTTGTTACTTATTATGGTTCATATCAAAGTTGACGTAGCTCTCAGACTAAGCGTTCACTGAAAATATCACGATTCGATCCTCGCCAGCACCAAAATAATGTTAATTGCAATAATTTTTTAAATTATTTTTTATTATAATAATTTTTTTAAAGAGCTCTTTGCCCTTTGCGTGCTTGGAGACGAAGGATAACATTATAAATAAATCTCCGTATCTTAGAAAAACAATATATCAAAGAAATTGTGTAAAGTCCTACAACAGGTGTCAAGCTGGACCATTGCTCCATAATCCTCTCAGAAATACGAGCAATGAGACGTATAAAGTAAGATAAATCATTCATTATCATTACCTTCGTTGTTTTTATATTTTATGGGGTGTAAGGGGCTCCGCTAAGATCTTGGAGCCCAAGCCAACCCCGCCTGCACGTGGCGCACCTGCTGGACAACGGAAAGGGCTCTGGCGATGCCACTCCTCTGGGATTCGTCCTAGGGGTTCGGGGGTCAGACGGCAGTCGCCCCGGTAATTGGCGCTAAGCCACTCAAAAATGGAAAGTAAAAGAAAGATATATACGTTTAGGACTAGGGCGTCGCCGCATAACGACGCGCATGGGGATCGCCTTAACCCTGCGACAAGTATGCCAGGGCTACCGGGCCCCGTGCGAGCCTGGCTAAAGACGTTAGCACCAACTACGAAGATTCGCTTTGCAAACTGGAACATTGGCACGCTTACGGGACGCTCCACAGAACGTGCGGCCATACTTGCCAGGCGTAAAGTGGCAGTGGCGTTCCTGCAGGAGACACGGTGGAAGGCCAACAGGAGCCGGAATATTGCGCACGGCTACAAGCTGATCTATACAGGCTCTTCTGGTGGGGAGAACGGTGTGGCAGTGGTGCTCGCCGAGCATTTCCACGATAGCGTCTTGGAAGTTAGACGCATATGCGACTGACTTATGGTAGTAAGGTTGCTTATTGAGGTGGTCGTGATCCACTTAATAAGTGTCTACGCTCCACAGGTCGGCTGCAGCGACGCGGATAGGACGCTGTTTTAGGATCGGCTCGGAGATGTACTATGCGGCACACCGTTGTCCCACGATGTCTTTTTTGGGTGGCGACCTGAACGGTCATGTGGGCGACGTGCAGGGGGAGTATGAACATGTCCACGGCGGATAGCCGTAGGGTTACGGCCGAAGAAACGCAGAGGGGGAAACCATTCTCAGAAACTGCACTGCAGCTGACCTGGCCGTGGTGAACACGTTCTTCAAAAAGAAAACCGAGCACCTGATTACCTACTGAAGCGGTCGGAACGCCACTTAAATCGACTATCTACTGACCAGGAGAAGTCATATCAGTCGCGTGGCCAACTGTAAGGTCATACCCGGTGAGTGTCTCATTGCCCAACACCGACTTCTTGCCGTGGACCTCTGCGTAAAACCCCGTCGCAGACACGCCGAACGTTGCCACCGTCAAATCAAGTGGTGGCTGCTGGATCAAACCAGATACTCAGAGTTTGACTCTGCCACTGGGGATATTAGTCTCGACACAGCAGGCAAGTCCGTCCAAGAGTGCTGGAGAACCATTCAGACAGCAATCACAAAGACGGCAAAGCAGGTCCTCGGCGTAGCGAAAGGGGGTCGCAAAATCGACAAGGAGACCTGGTGGTGGGACGCCACAGTCCAGGGTTCATTACGGGAGAAGAAAGCGCTCTTCAAGATGTGGCAAGCGACCAAATCTCCTGCAGATCACGCATCTTACAAGACAGCGAAAAGAGCTGTAGCCAGAGCCAGGCGTGACCACTTGCAACCATTATATGTTAAGATATTATTACGCTGTTGCAGCGTCAATGGCCCTAATGGCGAGTTCCTGTACGATGATCATGCGGTGAAGGAGAGATGGCGCTCTTATTTCCACGTTTTGCGGAATACTCAGCACCGGGAAGTGTACCCTTCCGAATAACTCCCGAACCATAGACTCGTGCTACCGACGAGGTCCTCGCATCTCTTCGTTACATGGAGAATCGGAAAGCTGTAGGACCGGACGAGGTGCCAATTGAAGCGTGGAAAGCGCTGGGGGCTCGTGGTGTGTGCATTCTTACTAATCTTTATAACAGAATCCTGAGCGACCGAATGATGCCCGATCAGTGGCGGCTTAGTATAATAACGCCGATCCACAAGGGTAAAAAGATCATGCGGTGAAGGAGAGATGGCGCTCTTGTTTCTACGTTTTGCTGAATACTCAGCACCGGGAAGTGCACTCTCCCGAATAACTCCCGAACCATAGACTCGTGCTACCGACGAGGTCCTCGCATCTCTTCGTCACATGGAGAATCGGAAAGCTGTAGGACCAGACGAGGTGCCAATTGAAGCGTGGAAAGCACTGGGGGCTCGTAGTGTGTGCATTCTTACTAACCTTTATAACAGAATCCTGAGCGACCGAATGATGCCCGATCAGTGGCGGCTTAGTATAATAACGCCGATCCACAAGGGTAAAAAGGGTCCGTTCAGGATTGCGGTAATTACCGCGGTATAAAGGTGACGTCACACACCATGAAGCTCTTCGAGCGCATTATTGACACCAGATTTTAACCGATAGGAGTGTACAGTATCGGACTCCCAGTACGGCTTCCAACCAGGACGCGGTACCATGGACCCTATATTCGCCCTAAGGATCCTCATGGAGAAGTACAGGGAAAAGAATATACCTCTGCAGGTTTTATTCCTAGACCTGCAGAAGGCCTTTGACAGTGTTCCTAGGGAGATGATCTGGTGGGCGTTGCGGTCGAAGTTGGTACCAGAGACCTACGTGGAAATCGTACGTTACATGTACCGCAACTCCGATTCAATAGTCAGGACCGCTGTTGGTGATACCACCCCCTTCCCCATAACCGTAGGCGTGCATCAGGGCTCCGTCTTAAGCCCTATCTCTTCAGTATGATATTAGACGAACTGTCAGCCAGCGTACAGAAACTACCGCAGCCTTGGCTGCTTATGTACGCTGATGATATCGCACTGGTATATGGGGACAAAGCACGGCTCACCTGACGCGTGCACGCATGGAGGGAGGCACTTGAGAACGGCGGGCTGAAGCTAAACGTGGCGAAGACGGAGTATATGGCCTGCAACAGCACAGATCTGACGTCTCTCCGTATAGGCGACGACACCGTCGAGCGCACGGACAACTTCAGGTACCTCGGATCTGTGCTTGATGCGTCCGGGAACATCAATCGCAACATGATGGCCCGTATATCAGTGGCCTGGGCAAAATGGCGCGAGGTGACGAGTGTCATTTGTGACCTCAATATGACGGTAAAGCTGAAGGGACAGGTCTATAAGACCATCATAAGGCCTGTCCTTACATACGGCAGAGGCGTGGCCGGTGCTGGAGCGACACCGTCTGTTGTTGCATGTCACGGAGATGAACATGCTGCGGTGGATGTGTGGCGTCACGCGGAAAGACCATGTACGGAATACATACATCCGCGGCAGCCTCCATGTCCGTGACATTGCTGACAAGCTGCAGGAAAGTCGCCTCCGCTGGTACGGCCACGTCTTACGACAACCGGCAAGCTAAAAATTTGATAAATTAATATAAATTTGAATATTATTGAATTTCTTATATAAGTTTCGAGTATGTTTTACACGGCTGTAATTTTAAACAACTGATATATTCAAAACATTTCCTGATATAAAAAAAAACTTTTAATTTGCTAATTATTACAGTGAATATATAATATGGAAATAGACTAAGAAATGTAGCTATAAAAGCGATAATTTTCAAAAAAGAAATAAATACATTCACTACAGAATATTAATTTATTCCTCTCTATACATTGACGACTCTATAACACGTGCTACTATAGTCTACAAATGTATTTCTTAAGGTTTAAAACCTCATTGACGCTAAAAAAAATAAGTTAAAGTTAGTTTTAAAATAACATCAGAACTAAATATAGGGTAGAGCGTGTCAGTTGCTGAGCTAACGATTTCAAAAATAAAAATTTAAAAGATTTTATATCATCATTTAGCAGACCTGCCTGAATTTTTTGGAGGGATAATTAGACACGAATAAACGTTTTGATATCCAGAAACAAGATGCTTCTTATTTAATTATTGTAACTTTTCTTTATTTATTGTATTGTATATTAATTTTTTTTTGTATTCGACACAAAATATTTTCGAATATATTTTTTATTTAATATTTTTTCGGTTATCAATTTTAGATTACGGTTGATTGACCTGATTGAACTGAAACCATCATACCCAGCACCACCTTTACCAGCCCAACAAGTCCCAACACAACCATACTAGGAACGACATGAACGGCACGACAGAGTAAGACGCGTGTTTCGTCTCTGCATTAGGCATCCTTAGGCGGAGTAGACTGCGGTGCTGACCGCTAAAAACTTTTTTACAATATGTTGGTGTTGAACACTGCGGAGTTTTTTGGGAAATTTTATCGAAAGTAGACAGATGATGACGGTAGTATATCAAGGCGTTGGTGCCAAACTTGTTTCAAGAACTTTCTATTTTAGTTGCCCGTAAGTTTACTGCTAGACATAGACATCTCCCGTTGTAAGAAGGATTTGCCTTAATCCGTAATAAATTGTGTACGTGGTAGAGCCATGCTGCAGCTATGTTAGTAGTGTAGTCATCGGCTCGACCGGGGAAGAACCACGCTCTCATAGAATACGAGCGTAAAATAGTAGCTTAACGGTGCTGTGTTTCGTATGGTGAGTGTAGAGAACCGGAGACCCTTTTTACTGGATAAGAGGTATTCCTTCTTAGTCGTCACGGGTGAAAACGCATCTGCATTTCGATTCGTGGTCGAGGATTGATGCAGATGTCTATGGGCCACAGCAACTATTTACCGTCAGGTGGACTTTGTGCTTGTTTGTCACCCTTATCCTATATTTTAAAAAAAACAAGATTTTTCCAGCATTTCCCAGTCGCTTCTTACAACGCTAACGGTACCGATATGGAGTGATACCTTACGACGTGGACTTTCCGAAGAATTCACAGTTTCCTCATAAAGATACCATTCTAGATATTTTATATATAAAATAACAACACTTTTACGAATAATAATCTGCTTCAAGCCTGTATGTAAATGTATATTAGACAAGAGCAAATGTCTGCTTGCGATTAAGCTCACATCAAATCTATTTGATTATCTATTCTATTCTTTTCTATAGTAAGATTGTAGGAAAAATATTAAAAGGAAATTCTTACCCGGATAGTAAATTGCTTCTTTCCTTACTGCGTATTTTGCTAAAGGTATTCGGAGAGTGCAAATAAACTCCGCAGGTGAAGGAAGGTCAGCGTCGAGCAACGTGACCGAAGCTACCGCGGAGTATCTGCCGTTCACTAGTTTCAATTCGTGAGAAACTCCATCCAGCCTCCTTCCAATAAAACATATAGATGTTTTTAATATGAATATAATATGTAGCATTACGTAGAGTGTGACAGTGCGATGAATATTTTTACTCTCAGTATGAACTGCCTATTGGTAAAAAAAATTAAAAAAAAAACTAACGAACTGAATTGATTTTACTGAAAACTTAATTATTTGATATGATGAAAAAAAAACACACACACACACCCACACGATTTTCACAATAATATCTACCAAAATTTAATACTACAGCAATAAATTAAATTAATCATTCATATTCCTCTGGACTAAAGCTAGACTAGAGCAGTGCAATGACATGAAACTGAATCTATTTTCCCACCTTTCCCGATAGTCATGCTTAACAGGCATTCAGGTAATTCTGGCATAGCGCCAGATTATTTTTGCTATATACATATGATATTAAATTAATGAATAAATGTTTGATCTTAAAATGCTTCTTTACAATGCAATAAAAATCGAAATCAACTTGGGTAGATTGTGACAATTTGACATTATATTACAATGCAACGTCGACGTGCTGTAGGATTTCTGCAGGCTCGTACTTTTCAACTGGCACTAGGCACCAGGCAAAATGTGATTTCAAGATTGTGATCACACTATCATGCCACGGCGGTGGTGGTGGAGAGACCCATGACCAAGCCGCATTACTACAGCCAGATAAGTCATTTTTTTGCAAATTGCTGCGAGAAAGCAACAATATATATGATAGGGTGAAGCAATTGTCCAAAGGCTGAACACCAGGTGCTTGTGAGTGATCAAATTGTGAGGAGGAGACAGCACGAAACTAACCTTCATGGTCGTAGACTACTTAGGGTTCCAGCTCTAAGTAGAGGAAATATTGGACGAAAACTGCAATGGGCTGTGAACATGTGAACTTGGAATCCCATCATTGGTCGTTGGTGCTTTTCACCGATGAATCCCGGTTTGGTTTTCATCCTAATTGTACTCACACGTACTCTGAGGAAAGTTTCTGGTCGTACTGTCCGGCCTCAACACTCTCAAGAAGTTCATCCATACCAATGTGGTACAATTATATAGTGGTAGTAAGAATTCGTTTCGGTGAAAGAACAGACTTCGTTTGGATACAGGACACTATGGTGGCTAAAAAATACTGTAATTAGGTGCTAGAACTAATAGTCTTGCCATATATATAACCGTGACCCGCTTGGGTCAAAATTCCCTCCTTATGCACGACAATGTCGGTTCAGTCTGGTTGTACAAACATGATGTGATGTCCCTAGAATGGCCAGCGTAATCTCTAGATTTAAATTCCATAGAAAATGCTTGGAATATGCTTCAAAAAAGAGCTCTGAGAGCTTTTCTTGACATTATGGTTACAGAAGAATGACTCTTTATGCATCTCAGCAGGACCTGGGACAATATTCCTCCATAGGATATTAATTATCTTATTCTCAGTATGCCCAACCGATGCAAATGCGGTATGGATGTAATGGGCGCTTTTACTGATTATTTTGTTTAGTTTACATAGATACTTTACTTATGATTAGCTTAGTGACATAGATGCGAGACGTGTGACCCTGAGGGTAAGCTAAATCTATAAATAATCAACGGGAGAGGCCCATTACCAGCTGAAAACTTTTACGGGCCGATGTTGATGATGATGATAATGATGAGTATTAACATTTCATTATACATTCATCACAGCCTGTCAAAGCTAAACTAATGAAGACCACAGCTGAACGTAGGAATCCCCAAAGAATGCCTGAGAATGCCTTTTTTCCGGTATTATTATCAAATTTCAACACTAATAACAGGCAACCAAAACATGAAACAAGTAATAGCACAGCAGTATTCTTTTTTTAAATATTTTGTTATTGAAAATGATTTTTAATATCATTCTGAAAAGCATTGCTGAAAATGGGGACTGTCCACTTTTTAGCTCATATATGTGTGCTATAACTCGCACCTTCTTAGTTGCGAGTATTAAGTACTAACATAGATATTGAGCTCCTATTGTATCTATTAACCACTTTGGATCTTCGTTTGACCAATGAAGATTTTTTATTATTTTATATTTTTTATTTATTAACAGTTTTGTTTTCGAATTTATTATACCAGTTGAGGTACAAGATCGAGTAGAGTTCAGTTTGTACAGTCTAGCAGCGCGATCTCCTATTCGTATGAAAAGTGCGGCATTTAGCCAAATATTCCTTAATAGACTATGCACAGCATTACCGGGCTGCTAGCTATGTTGTGTTATTTGAAAAAAAAATGTTATTCCGTATTTTTTCCGCTTGCATTTTGGACTTGAAACCGCATTTGCATCTGTGTAGTTGCTACTTACGTAATCGACGCAATAAAGTAAGTAATTTCAAGCACGTAATTTCATTCTTCTCGAGACATGCAGCTCTTAACGATATCATACGCCGGTCTCTTGCCACCGTCAACGTGCCAAGTCTACTTGAGCCGTCTGGTATTGCAAGAGACGATGGCAAGAGACCGGACGTTATGAGTTTGATTCCATGGAGGATGGGCCGGGTGCTGGTATGGGATGCAACCTGTTCAGACACGCTGGCCCCTTCCCATCTACGTGGAACTAACAACAGAGCTGGTGCGGCTTGTGAAGCGGCAGAAAAGGCTAAAGTTTGCAAATACAGGGGTCTAGGCTCCGAATATATTTTTGTCCCTTTCGGTGTCGAGACCCTTGGTCCGTGGGGTCCTAGCGCTATAAGCCTTTTTAAGGAAATAGCAAAAAGGTTAATCGACGTCACAGGAGACCGAAGAGCTGGCAGTTACCTCGGACAAAGAATTAGTCTAGCTATTCAACGGGGAAACGCTGCCAGTATCTTCGGAACCTTGCCTAAAGGACCTCTTTTTTAATAATTTAATTTAGTTATTATAATATATATTTTTAAGGTTTTTAGTATTTGAATTAGTTTGTGAATATGTATTATAGCACAAGACAGCATTAATTTCAAGCAAGCATGAGTCTAGCCACGTAGGCCGATTGGTTAGCGATAAGGTGCAGTTGCCTTGTTATAGCCAAGTTTGTAGCCAATTGCTGTTTAGAGCACACGTCTTCGATTTTATACGATCTAGACACGTTAAAACTAATTAGTTGCGTACG